ATGACGGACAACTCGTTCAAGCTTTTCGCTGCTGAGCCAACACCAGGCCACGACCCCAGAAAGCTGATTATGCCGTCAAAGTCTGCCAACGACCTCTCCAACACTCCTCAGAGAGATATTTTCGAGGACGGCAAGCATCATACTCACAAGCACGAGCCGAAAGAAAGCCAGAAGGAGAACCAGAAGGAAGTTCCCAAGGACGGCGAGGGGAGTGCAGCACAGGGCAGCTCGACGCAGACTTCGACCAAGTCTGACGGCCAGCAACCAGCCGACAAGAAAGAGGTCATAAGAGGTCCCTGGAGGATCTTGCGCCTGCTCCCTCGCGAGAGTCGTCACATCATTGGCCGCATGCTGGAGATCAAGGTGAAGGATCGTGCGACTATGCAAGAAATTCTCGATGAGCCCTGGGTTGCCAATACAGTCATTTGCCAGCAACCCGAGCCGGGCCGCGTTGTACACGCAGAGGATCACATTCACACTCTTGAGCCACCACAGCCCCCGAAGTAGGGTTCACAACACGGGCGCGGTCAACACAAATTGCATGTCTGAAAGGCGTTTAACCGGTTGTAGATGGGGTTTTGGAATGGGACAGGATGTGGAAGACACTTGGAATGACATGAGCCCCTCGTGATTGGGGTCAAGCGATGATATTGGAGCTTGGGTGGTATCGGAGTCCGTCTTGAGGTTTTGTAGATGCTGCTGCGGCTCCGCTCACGGCCTTGGATCAAGCGATTGAATTAGATAGGTAGATAATACTATTCAGAAAAGACTCAATATGTTGACCTAGCCAATCGTGATAAAGTGATATCACGGGATCTCCCGTCCTGAGGCAAGTCTCAGTAAGGTAGCAACTCATCTTCATCCGTGGATGGTCTGTGTCCATACGTCAAATGCGATATGGTCGATTGGTAAGTACCTCATTCATCCTCGGCATATACAGCCAATCGGACGATATCCAGGGGTATGTAACGGTGGGGCGTTCGGGAAATCCTTTGGCCGATCGGCCCAAAAAATTGTTGACATTCTGGAAGCTCTTGGAATAGCTTCAAGGCTTAAAGTTCGTCCCCCGTATCGACTCTACACTTCACCGATCGTCATCCGCCCAATCCCTCCAAACAGACCAAAGTTGCCGCTTTCGCTGTCAATTCCATCACAACAGTCACAATGGTACGTTGGCACCCCTCAATTCTACGCCTCAATTCCGGCAGCAGCCTTCCCCTTAAGTCGGCAGCACGACGGGCATCCCCATGTCAGCCCTTGACATTGTCTGCCGCCATTGCCAGCAATGCAACATCTCGCAAAACCATTTCGCTGACAAGACGCATTGCAGTCTGCCTCCTTCCGCTCCATCCGCGCCCTTGCGCCCCTTCTCGACCGCGTCCTCGTCCAGCGCGTCAAGGCTGAGACCAAGACCGCCAGCGGCATCTTCCTTCCCGAGTCCTCCGTCAAGGAGCTCAACGAGGCCAAGGTCCTCGCCGTCGGCCCCGGTGCCCTCGACAGAGACGGCAAGCGGTTGCCCATGGGTGTCGCCTCTGGTGACCGCGTCCTGATTCCCCAGGTACGTTTTCGATCCCTTACAGCAACCTCAACTGCGGCGCCAGTCATCGATCCTACCCGCTTCTCTGCTTCCCTACTTCCGCGACCTGGCCTGTGAAAGGTGGTGGCATTCGGGAATGCGCAGTAGCCGGCACCTCTTTACTCGACATCTCTTTCGCCGCATAATGTCGGCGGAAGTGGAAATAGAGTAATGAGATGATGGGGGCGGGTGAAGACAGGATGGGCGATTTAGTTCAACGAGCACAACATATGGATCCGATGGGCTGACAAGATGTGATGCAGTTCGGCGGCTCCCCCGTCAAGGTCGGTGAGGAGGAGTACCACCTGTTCCGTGACAGCGAGTAAGTCTACACCAATCCCTTTACCACACAAACCCTTTCAGCCAGCAATCAGTTCGATGTGTTATACCAAAAGAAAGACAAGGTCACTAACGTGATCCCCTCCACCTAGGATCCTCGCCAAGATCAACGAGTCATAAACAGAGAGAAATCTGCCAGAAACGACTCAAACCATAAAAAAGTGTAAAAGATACCCACGAGGTCTTTGGCGTGTGTACAATACCGTGTATCAAAAGAAACTCCAAAAATGAGAGCGAAGTAAGAGAGGGTGTATAGCCCCAGCCCAGTATTCAATTTACCTGGAATATTCAACCAATGAACGCTGGAAAACTGTATTATGGAGGGAGTGATAGGTTTGGCCCTTTGCATAGAGACTTTTTTGGGGTGTGGTGTAATAGTAGGTGTGATTTAGCTCCCGCGAAGTAGGAGTCGGGGAAATGCATAGGAGATGGAGTGGAGGGACTCCGAGTTGAGTAAGAGGAGTGACGCAAATCGTGTCCCTCTCTTCTTTGCTCCTGCTCTTCTTACAGGCTGGAACCGCTCCTCCCTCGGCGGGGTTTGAATCATCAAGAAACCTCTCCTCTCTGCCACCAAGTTTCTCGCCTTGATGCCTCAAGTCGTCCGATGTGATGTTCTCGTAGCAAGCTATGGTTGGCTGGTGTGGTTGCACTTAGTGTAGTCGTGGCACCTGACAACTGACCTCGACGCATGACTGCTGCGAGGAGTTACTATGAGCAGATCATAGACAACATACTACAGAGATGGGTGTATTTCAGGACGCGGCTAAGAGGGGATCTTCATTCATTGATAATACCTGATGAACAGTACGACACCATCTCAAGCACGTCTTGCAGAGTTTAGACAATGCTCTACTCCTTTCAGACAGAGTCAAGCGTCTACAACATGCCAGCTTATCATGACCAAGAAGCTAAAGCGGGCTTGGTGTTTTTTCACCGAACGCACCCGGTCAAGCTTCATGGATTAAGTATGCGGTGATGCCCAGCAAGGGAAACGGATCGTATCAACCATCGTCGGCTCAGGCAGCCCGATCAGAGACAATCCAGAAACCCCAGACAAAGTTGCCAGATTGGGGGATAAGAAGCAAAGCTTTGGCTTGGGATGGTTGTAGAGCCCGAGAGTAGCTGTAAACAACAAACGGCCACGACATGACGTACGTCATCTAACTCGCCTACCTACGTTGGCGGGCTTGATCCCTTTTCGCCAAGACGGGAACAATCGTTTTGCGCAAGCAGCCGCAGCGCAGTACGACACATCCCTTCTCTCTCGGATGCGCACGTACGAGGGGCACGCGTGCATCCCAAAACACGGTGTCTGACTTTTGACGACTAGTGAAGAAGCACTATGGGAACTGGAAAGTTTCAAGTTCTGGGATTCGATCAATGTCTGAGATGTTCTGGCTTGGCAGGTTTTGGCCGTGTAGTTCAGAAATGGTGCGGACGCAGCGGCAAGGCATCGGACAAAACAGACAGACATACTCGGTACACTGTAAGGGGAGAGCGAGTTGAGGTAGGCATGTCTTGCTGCGAGACCCGCGAGTGTGGGCGGTGCAAGACAAACAAGCTATTTCCTTCGGGACGGGCGAGTGGGCGGAAAGACGAACCTAATCATCAGTGGGTACACAGAGAGGAGGTGCCGCAGTGCTTGATATTGGAATTGCAACCAAGATTTTCATCTGGGGACGCCGCGCACTCTCGGGCTGCGGACCGTCGTACGGCTGTGGGCTGTGGAAATGCGATTGAGGCTCGGCCTGTGCCCGAGTCATTTTCTATCATGTTGATTCCTGTCTCACCAGTGACCAACTCTGCTCGTGTACACTTCTCGCTGCCCATTGTTCTTTCCTCCCTGGTCACACTTTGGGCAGTGCTGGAATGCTCGTTGATGAGAGAGAAAACGTGTCTGACCATCTACTGGGCCCCGCCCTCCTCAGTGGAGGGAGAACAATAGGATTGTCCTTTTCGGACGCGGCTTTCTTCCCCGGTGATGAATGGGCAAGCACGACCCTAGGACAATTCGGACGTAATCAACAGAAAATGGATACTGTATACATAATAGGTCAAAACTTGTGCGGCGGCCACTGGTAGCAAGCTGAGCCTCGACCGTTATAGGTATGGATAAGGTAGATGACTAGGAACCAGGCAGTACGGAATTGCGCGCGATAAACAGAGCAGAAAAGGAGAGCACAAGCAGAAAGCTGAGAGGGGGGATACCGGTAAGCGGGATAAACATAATTAAACAACTTTGATCAAATCAAGAAAGAAGCGAGATGGGTGTGAGAGGAGTCGCTCCGAGATTGTGCATTATCCACATGGAAGGTGGGAATCTTACGGGTTTATGGGTTCATAACTCACGGGCCACCACGGTCCATGGTCATGGTCCGCGGGAGAGGTAGTGATGGAGAGTGAGAACACGATGAATGAGAGTGAGCCAGTGAGGCTCTATGTGAATGAATGTGAGATCCGACGGGTGTCCCGGGCAGACGGTGGATTCCAGCTACATTTTGGCGGGCAGAGAGGCCAGTGAACCACGAGTCGGAAAGTCTAGACGCTGGCCTGCCAGGAAGTCAAGACCACCACCCCTTTTCTTGCCTCTGTGATGTCGTCTCACGGGCCACCAGGGAAAGTCCACAGCAAGGCAGGGATCCGTGGATCATGGATTGAAGAGAGGGAGAGAGAGAGAGAGATACCGCGGAAACTGTGGAGAACAAGGTTGGGCTGCGAGATTTTCGAGGATCTTGTCAGCGATGAATGGGAGCCAGTCGTTTGCTGGTCCTCTTTTCGTTCTGATTCAGGGGTTGGGGGGACATATGGGGGGCATGTTCAAGGGGGCCGGTCCCAAAAAGTCAGTACGCAGTAAGCAACCCAACGCTGCTGAGGGTTGAGAATGCACGTTTGACGCAGTAAGGCGGCTGGGCGGCTGGCGGCTGCGTTTGTGATGTTTAGCTATATTCGGCTGCCAATCGGGAACGAAAAGGGACGACGGTTGGTTCGAATTTAGAATTTTGGAATTCGGATGCGGCTGGAGGGAAAGGGAGGGGGAAAAGACGAGACGAACGTCCCCTCTTCCTTCTCGCGTGGTTCATGTGGAATGTCCCAGACTTCATTGGCAAAAACGAAACAGCGGCTCGGGACAGGTTATACGGAGACACCTGACAGGCTTGACTGGTGGGATCTGGAGTGGGCTTCTTGGCAGGGCGTGACGCCTGGTCACCAACTGGTCCGCGACGAAGAAACAAGACTTTTTTTTGTGGTTTTTTTTTTTTCTTTCGCTGTAATGTAACCTGGGGAAATGATTACTGGAGTGCTGGAGTGCAATCGAATAAAAACTCATCACAACTCACAGTTGAGAAGAGAATGGGCCAGGACTTGGCTGGACTCTTGGGATTTCTGGATCTTGGTACACTGGGGAAACTGGATCGAGGAGTTGCAAGTGGGAAAGGCTCAAGAGTTGATACCTGGTGCCGGGACATGCGTGGCTCTGGGTCCCTCGGCCCAGTTATGTGTTTAGTACGTTACAACTTTGCAGTTCAAGCTTACCTGGCAGCTTAGTTAATTGATGTTAAGGTGCGTTTCCCAAGTTTCAAAACAGTTTGCCTAAACGCTTTAACCTTACTGTGCTCGGTGTCATTCCAGAACCCCGTCGCTGGTGCTTCAACGGATTAGCTAATGCATCTCAGCAGACATTCGATGCACTCTGTAAGGTATGCACAGCAGCGTTTGAGGAGGCAAGTCAGGAGTTGATTGACTTGTCTCGCCTCAATCACGGTTCGTCTCATTTTTTCGATTCTTTTTCAGACTTAGATCTCAAGTGACAAGATTGTTTCTTCTTTCCCCCTTCCGCGTTAACACAAGCACTGTCCAACCCCCTTCTCTAAATTGTTCCCGCTACCCCTTGCGCCAATCAGTCAACGAGACGATCAATCGACGCAGCCAAGCGAAACCTCTCGGGCGATAGACATTAGAAAGACGGGCAAGCTAGCCGGCCCAGCCCAGCCCAGCCTGCCTTCTTCACCTTTTCGAGACAAAGTGTCGTTGGTGTCTTGGTCAAACGGCCGAGCTTGTGGCGGCGGAGGCGGAACTAAACACGAGTTTAAAAGCTGAAGTGCGAGTTATCTAGCTGATGACAGCCTCCCTCCCGAGCCCCTGGGTGCCCCTAGATTTTACGTTCCGGTTCGCCTCTGAGGTATCACAGTGAGGTACGGTTATCTCCTGTAGTCACACTCGCGGGAATTGATTGACGGTATCCGTATTGACTCGAGTAAATCCCCCCTCCTTCTCCTGAACCCCGCGCGTCACACGCGAATCTGCACCTATTCGGCTTTTCGAGATGGGCCGAAATGGTTTAGTGCCAGGGGAGATCGACGAGTCTTAAAACGGCGTCTGAACTTTCGGCTCTGCGCGTTTCCATTGCTCGCTCTCTGCTGAGGTCAGAGGCATGTGTGCACACACACGTATCCGTATCAGCACAGTACATCGTTTGGTGGGAGATTCTAGCGTGACAATGTCTGGCTCCAACTGCAGCTACCGGGCTTCTTATTCCTTCCATGACGATGATCCGGTCTTGGTATTCAGTGGGCAGACTCCAGAAGGGGCGTTGCAAGTCCCTAGAGTCCAGACTGTGCGCGTTGTCGGGGGACTCGGGCTCGGGGAGGAGAGAGAAGTGGACGCGGCTATCCATTCGGTCCCGCAAACCACGGACCCAGGGCTGAGGGAAATGCCTCTCTGATCCTGTGGTATGGTATGATAACACCGCGCGTCTAATTCGTTGTTCGGCTCTTGGTCGATCACTTGGTCTTGTTTGCTCTCTGTGCCTTGGAAAATCCTACGCAGTAATTCCCCGAAGGCGACGGCAATGGAACTAGGTAGACAGTCACCATGGCTAGGTACGTAGCCATTAGGGCGGGGCGGGTTCGGACGACGAGGGCAAGAGGGATGGATCATGGATTGGAAGGATGGGATGAAATCCATGGAAGGGACGATGGGATGGATGGCAAAATGGGAAGGAAGTGAGATACCAGCGATACGTACCCCCAAGTGCCCCAGTAGCGCCGCCCACTTCTGTTTCATCTTCCCATCTCCGTTGTCCCCACTAACGCACGCCACGAGTCCCTGCAATATGAACTTCCTCTCTGTTTGTGAGTGGTTTTTCTCTTGGCAAGGGCCCAGGCTTCTTTCCTGTTGGTCAGACTGTTTTTTCTTCTCTCTCTCGCTATTCACACTTCGCTCCTCTCGGGCAGAATCATCTCACCACCACACACACGCACACCCGTATCTCTCTCTCTTCACGGTATCTCGCTGCTGTGCCCCCTCGCCCCCTCGCCCCCGGCACCATGATCTGACACCCCATGGCTAGCTTAGGCAGGCAGAAAGAGACTGAACAGAGGCAATCCTCCAAGGCAGGTCCCGTATACTTTCCGGCTGTCCTGTGGGAACTCCACCAACCCAGCGGCGGCAATTTGTCTTGAAGCATGCCTTTTTCGGCAGAATGACCGCGCTAGCGCACCACCCAATGTAACCTGCAAGACGGGAACTGGGGGCAACTTGGCGGCGCGGAAGAGGCACAGATAGTAAGGTGACGAGAAAGACAGAAGTCACAAAACTCTCTGTAAAACGGACACTGAAGTAGTGGACAAGGCGAGTGGGGGTGGTTGCCAACAGCCAACTTGCTGCCCGTTGCTACTGGTACCGCCCACAGTCCACAGCCCGTTGCCTACTGCAAGGTACCAGGCCGCCCGAGATGAGAGATGGAGAAAGCAACCAAACCAGGGGTGTCTATGGCCTTGCAGGAGCGGAGCTGCACGTCTAAAGGGGGGCGTGCAAAGCGGTTGAGCTTCTTGCTGAACAAGAGTGCCACTATTCGCTTCCGCCCCCAGCTAGTGCTTCTTCCAACAGGATGACGGAGCCTCGGAGAGGGTCAAGGGCACTATGGAGCATCCGTAGTGCAACTGTGCAAACCGCTGCCGCCCTCCCTCCTTGCTACGCAGTAGCCCGACCCTCTCTCGCGGCTCGCCCTGTCATGGACCGCTGGGGTTATGGACCGTTGGTTGGTTGATATAAATCCATCTCGGTGCCCTCGATATCGGGCCGCTCCCTCTTTTTGTTTCTTGACCCCCATCGCGTTCTGTACACAGCTGGCCGCTGATACCACACTCCCTTCTTGTTCGTCCTCTTTCTTGAACGAACTTTACATTCATTATACCCACCAGAGCCAAACAACTCTTCGTCAGTTCGTTTGCTCCTTCAGTCTCTCTCGTCTAGCACGAAGTCACTGTTGAACAGTTCCACTCCTTGAATAAGGCAAAGCCAAGCGCTTACACCAAAGCAACAAAACCACCAACTACATTTCAGTCCTTCATTCGATATCTTCGATTTCGACTTTCTTCAGCAGGCCTGCTCTCAGCTGTACACAGAAACCCATCTTTTTCGGACCTCGACGTTCTTTCTTGCACAAAAAACGCAACATCTCATCTCAGGATACCCAACTTTCAACCCATCAAAATGAAGTTCTTCACCACTGCCCTGGCCATGGCTGCCGCTGCCAACGCCCACACCCTCATGTCCAAGCTGTACATCAACGGCGAGTCCCAGGGTGATGCTACCTGCATCCGTATGCCCAAGGAGGGAGACACCGCCACCTCCCCCGTTGCCGGTCTGACTAGCGACGACATGGCTTGCGGTAAGCTACTACCATGCCTCCGTCCAGCAACAACAAGCTTGGGCGCTGCTCACTTTGATATTCATATTTACTGACATCACCCACAGGCAAGGACGGCCAGATCGCTGCCGCTTACACCTGCGCTGCCCCCGGCAACTCCAAGCTCACCTTTGAGTTCCGCCAGTGGCCCGATGCCCGTGCCGAGGGCTCCATCGACCCTTCCCACAGGGGTCCCTGCTCCGTCTACGTCAAGAAGGTTGACGACATGACCACCGCCGCCGCTGGCCCCAACTGGTTCAAGATCTGGGACGAGGGCTACGATGAGTCCACTCAGCAGTGGTGCACCGACAAGCTCATCGCCAACAAGGGTCTTTTGACCGTCGAGCTCCCCTCTGGCCTTCCCGCTGGTTACTACCTCGTCCGCACCGAGATCCTCGCCCTCCACCAGGCCGTCAGCCTTCACGACCCCCAGTACTACGTCGGCTGCGCCCAGATCCATGTCTCCGATGGCCCCTCCGGCGCTCTCGAGATCCCCTCCCAGTACTCCGTCAGCATCCCCGGCTACATTGACGGCTCCGAGGCCGGCAACAACTTCAACCTCTACGACAACCCGCAGTACCCCTACCCCATCCCCGGCCCCGAGCCCTACAGCCCCGTCGGCACCGCTTCCGCCAGCGCAAAGTCCACCTCCTTCGAGGGCGGCGTTCCCTCTGACTGCCTGATCAAGAACGCCAACTGGTGCGGTAAGGCTCCCGAAGCCTACACCACCCAGACCGGCTGCTGGGCCGCTGTCGACGCCTGCTACGCCCAGGGCAACGTGTGCTTCGACTCCGCTCCTCCGACCGGCGCCGCCAACTGCTACGTCTGGAACGACAACATGTGCAAGGGCATCTCTGCCCAGTGCACGGCCGGCAACTGGCAGGGCCCTCCCACCATCGAGATGACCGCCAAGACCGTCGCCGCCCCCGGCGCCATCCCCGCTGCCGTCAACCTAAACCTCCTCGGTGGCTCCGCCAACACCGCCGCCGCTGCCGTCGCCTCCGCCACCCCCTCCAAGACCGCTGTTGCCGCTTCTTCCTCTGCTCCCGCCGCTACTCCTACGGCTGAGTACGCCGCCGAGGACCCTATCGCTACCAGCGCGCCCGCTGCCACTGTCGCCCCCGTGACCTCTGCCGCCCCCGTTCCGGCTTCCACCTCCGTTGCCGCCCCGGCCGCTCCTTCCGCCTCTGCCCCCGCCTCTGGCGCCCTTGTCCCCTCCACCGACGGTACCTGTGGTGGCAGCACCGGCTTCACCTGCGAGGGCAGCACCTTCGGCTCCTGCTGCTCCGCCGCCGGCAAGTGCGGCAGCAAGATTCTGCAGTGCAGACCGTCTTGCGGTTGCCAGACCAAGTTCGGTCTCTGCCTCGAGGCCCGCAGCCTGACGAAGAGCAACTAAAGCAAGCAAGCTTAGTTTCTTCCTGACCCACACCAACCTCTCCATCAAACTACATCACGACATCAAAACAACATTAAAACGTGATCATGACGACGACATGAAAGAAACCCCCTTCTTCCATCAGTGGATTCAAAAACTTCGCTTCGCTTCGCTTTTTTCTTCGACGAGTCTTGCTCTTTTTTTGCAACATGCACCTCGCTTGCATCATTTATCTTCAACTAGGGGGTGGAAAAAACTTTTGGGGTTTGGTGACAACACATACATCACGGCCGGGTTCAATGGTGTTCTCTTTTGCGAGTGGGAAAAAAACAAATTACATCGGAACAGGAAATCATGGGCATTGCTTGGGTAACTTCTGGTGTTTTTTGTCATGTGCCATTCTTGTATATAGTGTACAATTTGATCATAAACAAATATGGATCTTTCAAAGTACCTTTCTGCCTCTGTATAACGGCATGTGAGTTCGGAATCGTGATTCAATGTGTGTCAAACGACTATAACTACATGCAAGTGTGGCCATCTCCTGAACCGAGAGACAATGACTTCCACGAATTGGTACTCTCGCATTGGTTGGGCCATCGGCTTTTTGGAGGAGCTAGAGTTTCCCTTCAATCACAGATATGCATATCCCTACAACTACGTAGTTGTCGGAAATATAGTTGCTTGCCAGTCGGTAGTACGAGAGTATTCACTGGAGAATACAGAGCAACCGCGCGCTAGACAGCAACAATGACGTCTTCAGTTGTTTTGCGATAGTCTTGGGTTGAAATACTATAGAGAAGAATCCTTGGACCGTCCATTACCTTATATATAAAGTGCACTCCCGGTCGTTGAGGCCTTCCAGACGGCGAAGTTTGTTTTACGGCCATTTGTTAGCTCTTTTACACTCGTCTTCTTAGCTTGTCCGTCATAAGCTCAGTCTTGAACACGTTCTACTCGACTCAAGCATGGTTGTCGGCTCGTCGCCTTGGCGGATCGTTTGTCGTCGAGGTACCAACTGCCTTGATCGCGAGTATTGATGCAGGATTTGACAGGCATTTTCATAGTCTCGAGAGTTTGGCGCTTTTGAATAGCGAAGACTGAGAAGGTGTGGCGTTGAACTCTCCCTTTGTTTTTTCTCCTTGACTCTGTTTTCCCATTCTTCCCATTCTTTGCAGTCTACGGAGTACCCGCAATGCGGAAGTTGCTTCGGGAAGGCTGACTTGTGGTGTATTAATAGACTGTGAATAAAGTTATCCCGCCGGCTGTCTGAAGTTGTCGCGCACCTCATTGTTACTCGTGACACCTTGAATCACGAGACGGATTTCAGATAAACTAGGCACTCAGTATACGAGCACTCGTTGTTGTGAGATGAACTTATTGTGAGACCCAAACCGTTATGGTTGGTTGTGAATAATGTCTATTGTAGCGCCGGGTGATCTAGGAGGTATCGTTTACAGAAAGAAGTGAATTCCAGCAACGCCATCCTGTCATTCCTGGCCGCTTGTTCATCCTTCGGTACTATTGAAGAGTGCCTTTCCAGTTTTCCAGTCTTGCATGAGTCGTTGGATTCAACCGCTCTTTCAAGCTAGCTGACCGTGCCACCCAATATGCTGTCGTCCTCCCCCAAATATGATGCAAAAGTTCGTTCAAGGAAATCAAAGTCGTCGCATCGTGACTATACCCCCATAAGGTAGTTGTCAAAAGTCCAAGGTCCATGTATACATGGGCATTCTTAGGGAGTGCAGCTGAATCCGAAAGGGCTCTTTTTGCACAATCCCGAGGTGACGCGAGTGCCGCCAGGCTGTGTGTGAGAGATTAGTGAGTGCGAAAGGCCTGAGGCTTTGCCAGATCAATGGCAAAGGTCGGGTGTACTTACTGAATCCTCGCAGGTGACTTTGCAGGCTACGCCGACGTTGTCCTTGGTACAGTTCGGTACCTGGGTGCATTTACTACTAACTGTTGGGGACTGGGCCGCGACCTGGCCCACGAGGATGGCGGCTGCGAAGACGAGGAGAGATTGAAAATGCATGTTTGTTTCGTTCGGTTTTGATTGTGAGGATGGAATGATGAACAGCTGTAGGAGGGTATAGTTGAGTAAAGAAGATGAAGAAGGAAACTCGGAAAATAAAGACGCGGTTGTCGTCCGTCTTAATGTATTCCTTCAACGACTCCCCACTTGTCTCTTTTCCCCGTCAAGTCATTATTACTGCACGGCCTGATCGGCATCAAATGCCTTGATGAACGTGTAACGTTCGATATCCCACATGGTGGATTTAGATTGAAACTTCTGCTCGCAATTTAGAGTTTCCGCTGTTGAATACTCACGGTACTATACCATGAAGCTTTGTTATGGTATTTTTAGGTGCGCAGAGGCATTATCGTGGCCTTGGTGTCCGCTTGCGCGTTGTGGCTGGGGGGTGTCATGCGAGTCATAGGGCTGTCGACTCGGCTGGGTATTTGGGGTGGGATCTGCTTCAACGGGCCAGGAGCTAGGGGTTTCCGAAACCTCGGAATTCTGTTTGTCCATAATCTGATTCTGATTTAAATTTTGTGGTATTTACTTGCTTGTACTTTGGGAACTTTGTTCATTCTTGCAAGAGAGACTTTGACTTCAAGATGGATGATGGGATGAACCTCCTCCGTATTGAACCCCCAGCCGACGTCAAGCGGCAAACTCACGCAGTCACTGAGGCAAGATGGACACCAAGCCAATCCTAAATCGACTGCCAAAATGGAGAGGAACTTATATAGGCTCACGACAGCCCCCTTAGGAATGGTCTATGCGGTGGAATCTTTAGCTCGGAATGGTCACCAAGCCCACGCGTGAACAGCACGGCGGCACATGACTCGGCTTCCGACAAAGTTTCATGTAGGCGAACGCCTTTATTCGTCCCGCCTGTTTTGTATGAGAAAGTTGAGGGTCTCACGCGCAAGTTCCATGTTGCTCGCGAGCCTCCCGATCGCCTTGAAAGCTTGGGCTCCGTGTAGAGGTTGATGCTGTTGAACGAATGCTGGGCGCACAGACATCATGGGATTGGAGAGCCTGATGAAGGTGCCAGAAGTAGTCGGTGATGTTTGTAACAATAGCTTTGAGGGTTCAGTATAGCTTAAGCCATGCTGAGGTATGAAATAACGTCGGCCGTGCTGCTGATGAGCGCTGATGAGCCACGCCACTGCTCTACGAAGCTGCTGGTGACAAATTCTACTTGCAGGGCAGCTTCAGCACGTCCCAGGTGTTCAGATGAAGGTTTGTCGAGCAATTATTCCTCTCCTCTCAGGGAAGTTCTTCAAAAGATGGCTGAGTATTCACCGATAAGCATGTGTCGAAAGTTCCGGTCCCTTCTGGCGTTGAAAATCTAGCGACCAAGGATCTGCCGCACGTCAAAAAGAGCAGAAGGTGGCGGACGCGGAACGCAATATGGACAATTCTCTGTTTAGACAGCCTTCCGCGTGGCATACACTCCAGCATCCCGATCCTAGCAAATGTTGAAGCCCCCGTCTCCGCCAAACCCATCCCGGAGTCGTCCCCGGTGAGCACGGGCCTCCCGCCTCCGGCCGGCCGATCTTGGCCCACACACGGCAGAGCTTGTCTCCCAATCGGGTAGGAGGCTGGTACGTAGCCATCTTTGGCATGCAAGGAGGGGGTTACCTACCATCTTACCGAGATGTCGTCACACCTCCAGGCTTGATGGAGGGGAATACAGGAGTACATCAGAATGGAGAAACCTAGTTTATTGCAACGTTGTTCATCCTCGTCAAATACAGGAGCACATATAACCGCCAATTACGCGGACAATAACTTCGGCCCCATTCATATCGCCATGAGCGGACTGCGACTCCCCAATATCGACGACTTGATGGTAACAGCAAACAACCCTTCGAGAGCCGACGTATCAAGAATGGGTCACGAGCGATGCCCATCTCTGCACAACTATCTCGTGCGCTACGCCTGGGAAAGGTAAAGGTAACACCCCACGATACATCCTCCCAATTTGGCGGCGAAAAGATTGGCGGGCGCTGGGAGTGGCGGCCATATGGCGACGCCCAGGTAGCTATATATATAGCAGCATTAGACGGCTTGTGCGACGCCATCGAGACACGCATCGTGGGCAACGATAACGCCGCCACAGGCCAGTCGCACTCTGAACCTTTACTCACGCCCGCTGTGCTTGATACGGCGTCAGTGCCAGACGGCTTTGCACGCGCCTTTCTGACCCGTGCGCGTCGGCCTCGATTCCGCCACGTTGCTCCGGGCCTCGCCTTACCTCTCGTGGACGCAGCCGATTCCAAAGCATTGCAGCGCTTCGCACAGCAGCAGCGACCGGGGTTGTTGGATATCCCCTCAGTCTGTCTCTTTCCTGTCGCACAAAGGGGGCTCGAAAGTAATATCACTGGGTCGCTCAGCCCACTTCTTAGTCACTCGTATCTATCCCGAGTCCCCGCCGGTTTCTACGAAGAGTTCGAAGCGAGGAGTTTGTAGCTGGCGCAAGCAAGATCGAGGGGTATTTCGTCGAGGTAGGCAGCGTCGCCGAGCTCTTCTAGCATGGACACGAGCCATTTGGCGGCGACCAGATCCGCCCTCACCGCCTGGAACGCCTTCTAGATCATTGGCGCGGGCTAGTTGACGAGGATGTCTGGCGTGTAGGGCCGCAAGGGATGGAGGGCTCTATTTAGTTGTGTTGTATTTTATGCATTATGTGCGTAAAAAAGCTCACCGTTTATAAATATATCTCTACATATGATTCCCTTTATGTAGTATGTACTTACTAACATATACGTATCGCTTGAAATTGATAAAGTAATAGTACTCCATGATACGCGTAAAGCTTTTGCTGGAAAAGGTACCCCTTTATGACGTCTAGCCGCACCACCAGCTACATATCTGAAAGGTTGTGAGCAAAGTGGCGGTGGGCGGGCGGGCGGGCCGCCATGAGAAGACGGCTACGCCGTCGCCAGTAATCACTCCCAGTAAATCACTATAATGACCAGACGCCGCTGGATCGGGCTTATAAGTAGTCAGGCAGGTATCTTCAGATCCAATTCTTATGCAAGTCTGTGCTCTGGTGGCTCCGTGTACAATGCTTGAATCCGTTCCAAATTTGAAAGCCTCTCAACCGCTCTCCCTCTTTAACAGCTCCCCCTCTCATCTCCAGGGCAAGAAATGCAGCACTGATAACTCTTGCCATCAAACGTCGCCGAGAGACGTCTCGGCACAAAGGTGCCTGGAGCATCACAGACGACCTGGTCGCTGTAGATGCCTTGAGGGGAACCGCCGATCCGCGTGCAGAGTTCGCGGGAGTGGTCGATCCAGGCTTGCATGGAGATTTGGCCGCCGTTGGGACTGCATGATTTCCGGGTCCATTGGCAGGTTTTGGCACTGGCGATGGCCAGGGATGAGGCCACGGCGAGGAGGAGGGTGAACTTCATTTTGGGTTGTTCTTGAGGTTATGGTCTGAAGGAAGATATGGTTGGGGTTTCAGAGAGGACTACTTCGAGCTGAAGGGACGTAGTATCTTGCGTTTTCAGTTGAAGTTGCTGAGTTGATGTGAAGCAAGGGCTATGAGCTGTTGGCTGGTGGTATGGATACATCCTCTGTGGATGAGACATGACGATGAGTTATATACCCCTGAAATACATCTGCCTGAAGCAATGTGAATAGCTTGTAATTGGTACAAGTCTCTCGTAATCGCAAGGTCGGTGTTTACGCTTCCCCGTACGCTACGTTCTTCCCCATCCCTCCCGATGCAGTGTCACTTATCCGTAAGACCTACTAGCTTAAGGTTTCATTTAGCTCCGTTTACATTCATGACTCGAACCCGAGAACGAGTAGGTCGCAATGTAGAGAGGGTAATTACAACTGAGCCATGGCCCAGCTTGCGGCCCACCGCAAACGTATGAAGCGAGTATCCGTCCTCGTATTGCTTAGATCTGTACGGATGTAGTGGGAAGTATGCCAAGTGGATAAGGTGCTAAGAAGAATCTCAGAGTTTCGGATCTGCCCCATGAGTTGTACTCTGTAGTAGATTGGCCTCCTCATATCATCCTTGCACAGACCACTCTGCGGCGGTCTCGAGTCCCGACAATCTGGAATATTCCGTCGGCGAGATCCCCTGGATATTGGGATCGGACTGGACGAAACTTGGGTTGAACCATCTGGCCAAAGCGTGCCGTTTGCATAACTCATTTTGAGTTCAAATGGGCGGCGAAGCGATTATGGTCTATTTCGTATTGGGAGTTTTCTGCGAATCCTGACTAGCGAGAAGAGTTGTAGGAGTTATGATTAGAGGTAGGAAGTATTATAGTTGTCTGAGGCCTCGCAATATACTCGGGTGGGTAGACCGTTGTGAAAGCGCCAGGATTGCAGATAAGTAACTTAAGAATATCTTTTTCCGTGGTTCTAAAGTTGATGGAGGGACTGTTCCATATGTTTTGCGGTAATACATGCAAGGTTGAGTCATCTCGAATAATGTCTAAAGCCCTTTTTGGCTCTGAATGAGAAATACAAGTATGGATACATGATGTTGCTCTAGCAATGCCTTGCCGCACATCGAACTTTCAGACGAGCCAGACTTCTGACTACTTTAGCACTGCGACCTCCTTCGACGCTCTTCAACCAAGCAGCTTCTTCAGATCCGCCATGCGGGTCTCCTGAGTCTTCTTCCCCTTGTTCTTCTCTTGGAACGCCTTGCCGACCAGCGTCCGCTTCTCCAGCTGGATATCCAGCACGCGCTCCTCAACAGTCCCCTCCATAACAAGACGCCACACAGTTGTAGGTCTCTTCTGACCCAGGCGGTGCACACGATCCACTGCCTGGTCCTCAATGGCCGGCGCCCACCAGCTGTCTGCAAGAATCACCGTATCCGCCGACACTAAATTGAGACCGACGCTGCAGACGGCCAAACTCGCGAGCATCACGCGCGTCTCCGGGTCGTTGTCCAGGGCATGAATGGCGGCGTCTCGTTTCGGCGCCGTCATGGAGCCGTCGATGCGGGTGAACTTGTAGCCGGCCTCCACGAGTTGGTTCTGAATAATAGTCAAGAACGAAGTCCATTGCGAGAAGATGATGACCTTGGAGTCGGGATTTTTGGTTGTAGCCTGTAGAATCTTGAGGAGAGCCTCGGTCTTGGAACTCTTCGCGTCGGCATCAAAGTTCCCATCTTCCTCTTCGCCGCCCTCCGGGGCGGGCTCCAGAAGCGCGTCTTCATCGAGCTTGTTACGACACATGGGACACTTGCCCTGCGTCTGAATGACCTTTGAAATACAGCCGCGACAGAAGACGTGCTTGCAATGCGTGATGACAGGGCCGCTCAGAGTATCGAGGCAAACGGCACAGTCTTCCTGGGTTTCAATAAAAAGACGAAGCGCCTCTTGGAGGATCTTGGTGTTTTCCGAGTTGAGAATAACGACAGATTGGCCTTCGAGGGCCTCAAGAAGATCGGAGATTCTTTTGCGGCAGAGCGTCCAGTGGTTGCATCTAAGGGAATGTTAGGTAGAGCCGATTCATTAAGAGCGGGCAATACTGACACCTGACGAAGGCGGAGAAGGCGCTCCAGTACACTTTGAAACTGGCCCTTCTCGCCAGTGTTGTTTTGGTACTTTTCAAGCGCAATTTGCGCTTCGGACCTATGTTGATGCATGAGCTTGGTCCCTCAAGTGGTAACACGGGCGACTTACAGCAATGCTTCGTACTTGCTTTTCTCGTCTGGCCTGAAGGCAATGCGGTGGACGTATTCCGTCTTGGGCGGAAGCTTCAAGTCGACGAATTTCATGTCTTTCTTGCGTCGCAGGCAGAGATCTCGCATTAATAGCTGTAGGAGAGCCTCTGCCGTCTCGTTCCCTTGGGCAAGGGGCCGTGCGATCACGCTGGTGAAAATGGCAGGTTGCTCAACGCCACCGTTGATTCCAAGGAACTGAAGCAAGGACTGGAAGTCCTTGATACTATTGATGCTAGTGACAGTAAGTCTGGGTATGCTCAGTTTGGTTGAATCCATCCGCGGCACACTTACATTGGAGTTCCGGTCAGGACCCATCTGGATTTAGCGTTGAGCTTTCGACAAGCTATGGCAGCCTTGGTCTTTGCGTTTCGGATCGTGTGACCTTCGTCAAGTACAACGCGAGTCCAATTTGTGGCGATAAGGGGTGGTAAAGGTGCGATGGCCTTTTCCTGGCCTCCTTCCTGGGCAAGCTTGTTGTAGCTGGTGATGACAACTTGATACTTGGCCAACTCATTCTTGGTGGCCTTGTTATTTCCATGATAGGTAAAGATCTTGGGCAGATGCTCCTTTTTGACATGCTTGCGGATCTGTTGATCCCAGTTGCTCATGACGCTCAACGGAGCAACGATGAGCGTCGGACCGCCCCCTCCAGTCAAGATCAAGCTGATGACTTGTAAAGTCTTGCCAAGACCCATGTCATCCGCTAGTATGCCACCCGAAAGGAGCTTGGGTGCACTCTGTACCACGAAGTTCGTGGCCATATTGTGGTACAAGTTACGGCCGTTCGGGTGCCATTTCCACAGTTGGACACTCTCCTGAGAGCCCTTAGGAGGCATCTGGGGGTTCTCTTTCGACGTCATCCACGCCAGACCCTGTGTCACGATCAGTCAAAGTGCATTATAACCCTGAAAACTCTCGATACGTATAAATTGAGGGGGAAGGGGCTTGTAGCCCGTAGACCAGCATGCATAAAGCTCGAGAGGGCTCACCTGTAATTGGTATGGCAGTAATGTCGACTCAAGAACGGCGGGCTGCTCTGCCATCGGCATTTTGGACAAGAAGTGCTCGTCCATTACGAGCGACTTGACAGCATCACCGCGTGGACGGCTCGAAATTGCCTGACTGGCTTGGGCCAGGTCCTCCAGAGACACCTCTGGCTCAGCAGGGTTCAAACCAATTGTAGACTGGCTGCCCTTGATGCCTAGCATCTTTCTCTGCGCTTCTGCCTCGGCTCTCGTCTGCTTAAGTTCTCTAGCCTTGAGCAGTTTGTCCTTCTTTAGCTTGTCCTCCAACGCCGAGCGGTCGACTGGGTTGCTCGAACCATAGAGCTGTAGACGAATGGGGCAGTCAAACATGCCCTTCTCCCCTGTAAGAATAGCTTCTATTGCGATCTCATCCCGATCCTAGCACAGGTTTTAGTAACGATTACAATGTTGGATCAAAGTACGTACAACATATGGCGCTAGCTTTTCAACTACTTTGCGTGGAAGATGGCCGATCTGGGCGCCCATGACGTTACACACTCGGATGGCATTGCGATCATACTATGGTCATGTTAGACATCTGACGGCAAAGACGGAAGCTCAAATTGGAAAAGGATTCTCTGAGCTTGTGATAGTTGTGATTTAGTACCTGATTACTGGGTTCTCTCATACATACGACCACCTCGCCTGCAGAGGCATATCCATTGTAGTAGCGAACGCCGACAATCTTGTTGTCTATAATATCGGATCAGCATACTGGGAAAACCCCTACGAAACGCCCAAATGCCGTACCGAGAATCCCATAAAGTTCTCTTGGTGGGCCATCCGGAGCTTGGGTCAAATCGACAAGGTCGTCATCGTTGTCAATAGACTGAGTCGAAGAGCGAGGAGCAAGAGCACCTGAGCTCAAATGGGGCTGGGAGCTTGATGGGGTATTTCCGTAAACCCTGCCGCTGGCTGGACTGGGGCCCAAGCGATGGCTAGCCGGCCTTTTGCTGGGTCGTTGGACGGATGAGTCTTCGCCATCGCTACTGACAAGGTCGATGACAGCGATGCTGCGCTTCTTGGGTGGCATCCTCAATGTCCGAGCCCCCGGGCTCTGGGGCCGTATTCTGGGGCCGGATGGGTACTAATTCGTGAAACAAAAGAGCGGATTGGGGAAAGCTGTCAGCTAAGGGAAAGTGACAGGTTGGTACCGAACGATTCCAGATCTGGCGTGCCGAAACTGGGTAGGACAATTGGGACCTCTCACAAATCGAACCAGACGCGATAGACGCGTCTCTCGCGTACCCGGAGTGATGGGATCGACACAGGGATTCTCTTACACCAGCAGCATGAGGCTGGTGCTGTGGCTGAAAAGATGCAAGCCTGTGGCTGAGTCATTCTCCATCTGGTCACCTCGTGCAAGCACGCCATCATCAGAAAGACCCACACAAACCAATCACCGTGAGTTGCAAAATCACGACATTTCACGTGACCTGCCTCCGGGCCCGTCTGGGTGGTCTCTGGCCAACGACGACGACTCTGCGGCTCTTGCACCTTCACAACCTCACTTCATTCATATTTTCTTGTCTCAGGTAATTCTGTGATGAATTTGCTATCTTATGGTACCCAAAAAACATACGGAAACGCGGCAGGTTGAGCTCGCCGACGGTATCTATCCACTATATACGGTGGATAGAGCATTCATGCCATCATCATTCATCAGTCTACCGACAAGCGCTCTGCGGCTCTCGGCATCCCTCAATTGTATATCAAACAGGATAAATCCAAGTTCGGATTGTCATCGAAGCCAAATACGCAAACGCCCAGGACGAGAAAAGAACATCGACACCATCACCATTTACTGCTTCGGCAGTCGGCGGCCGTACGCCGAGTAGTAGCCGCACTTGGCTACATGGCTCCTCTTGCTCGTCTTCTCATTGAAGATGTTGCAACCACCCTTGGCGACGTTGGGAGGAGTGTAGACTACGAAGTGGTCAGTCATGTTACGGCAGAGACGGCGAGGTAATTCCTACGGTGAAGGGAGACAGCGAAGTCGCTGCCCTTGTTGCAGACTCGGTGGACGCCAAGTTCGTCTGCCATATATGCCACCGCATTCTCCTTGTGTGTTCTTTCAGAGATGATTTGCATTGGTTGTTCTTCGTTGCCTTCTGGGAAGGCGTAGCGGATCTCAGTGAGATCGCCTTTCAGAATCTTCATCAGGCAATGCGCATTGCCGTGATCGTGGATGGGGCTTCCCTTGCCTGGCGACCAGACAAGCACAAGCTGTGTGGCATTAGCCATGATACTACTACCTGATGCCACGAAGTCGTGGCCACGCGTCGACTCACCAGGTTGCTCTTGCCGTTGCCTTCGTCAACAAGGTTGCGGGTGTATCCCATGCTCTTCTCGGCGAATGCAAATTGTACCCATTCGCTTTCCGTTGTGTTATACTCTTCCATTAATTTCATCAACTCGTTGACATCGACGTCTGCCGAATCAAGTCCCGACGACGGGCCAAGCGCCTCCTTCAATCCCAATACGAGCTCGTCGAACCGATTGACATCGGTCTTGAGGTTATGCCCGAAGGCGGAGGTGATCTTGGTCAGGATATCGACGGCCATGGTTGCTATGGAATGCTATCAAGTTGGTGATGTTGTTGGTCGTGGTGCTTGGACGATTGTTGCTTTGGATGGTTCTGTTGGGAATGTGTCGTGCGGGGGGCTGGACTCTTTTTGCTCGTCGGTGTTACGAATCTACCCGGTGACCGGGCCTGGCTGGCATTACCTGATGGAAACGGGCGGGACTGGCGGAACTACTGGATGATCCGACTTCGGCGGGTGGGTCGTCTCGTCGGTCCTGACTTTTCTCTTTGAGACAGGGCAATCTGTCCACGTTGCCAGAGCGCAGCGGACAATTAGTCGGCGACCAATTTGACGTCTAGTGGACTGGTCTCCAACAATAGGCGCCTCTGGTTGGACGAGATAACCTACTTTACCAAGGTCGAGGGATCCCGGCAAAGCCGCTGATAGGCGACGGTGAGCCCCGATACTTTTGGGGGTCAGATGGCCAAACACCAGACGAGATGGGCCTTGTTAGAGTTTCACGGGACTATATCTAGTCAAGAGATTTTCATGCAGATTTTTGATATCAAAACGAATTCTTGACAACATGAAATTCTCATCTTGCCAGTTGAATGGGTGGATCGCTGCCGGCGTTGGCCGATAGCCGCACCGCCTCAGAGTCAGCTGAGCGGATCCGGTGTGGGGCTAGTTACCAGAATGGGTTCGTCTAGATTACTCACGCTAGGAAACGGCTTAACCTTAGGTAAGAGAGCCAGAGTCATACTGAAATTCCTTCTTCATTGTTGCGCGGGTGAACTCTTGTCAATTATTTTGCTACATCTTCTGTAACAGAAAGAAATCGCCATTGAGTTGTTCAGCCACCAATAGGCAGATTCAGGAACAGAATTTTGTTGAAGTCATCTGGTCTCTTAGGTGCTCTTCTAGGCTATGGCAACTGTTAGCGCGACCTCGACAATTCAGTCGGGAGCGCAACAAAGTTCTTGTCAAGATGCCCCGACCTCATGTACGCCTTGTAATAAGGAAAACGTAGGTTGGAGGAGAATTGTCAGGAACTTCACACCCTCGTAAGCAAACTTTCGAGAGGCAATGATGAACTAAAGTGTGTCTAACATAATGCAGATGGTTTGCGGTTACAATGGGAACGGGGATAGTCTCAGTTCTCCTTCACAACCTGCCTTACAACGCAACATGGATCTCACATGGTCTTGCCGGTGCCTTTTTCGTGCTCAACATCGCTCTGTTTACCGTATTCACCGTCATCACAGTGCTGCGGTACGCATTGTACCCCGAGATCTGGAAGGCCATGGTTGTACACCCTGCCCAGTCCATGTTTCTTGGCTGTTTCCCTATGGGGTTTGCCAGTTAGTCGCGAAGTTCTCCCCACACCACAGGATATACTAATCTCTGTGGCCAGCCATAATCAACATGATGATATTCGTGTGTGCACCTGCCTGGGGCCAGTGGGTGGTGAATTGGGCATGGGCATTTTGGTGGCTTGACGCCGCTCTGTCAATGGCAACATGCATCTCGGTGCCCTTCGTCATGTAAGTGACCTCACCACACAACGTTCAAATTCGAGACTGATCAACCATGTTCCGAAGGATTCATCAACACCGTCCGGGACTTCAGGCAGTAACAGCCGCAAGTCTTCTCCCAATCGTCCCAGTCGTAGTCGCATCTTCAACTGGCGGCATCGTCGCCGAGGCCCTCTCAAACCCATCTCACGCCTTCACAACCCTGATCGCATCCTACGTTCTCTGGGGTATCGGCATCTGCTTCTCGGGCATGGTCCTCGCGCTCTACTTCCACCGCCTGACGATCCACAGCCTCCCGCCCAAAGAGGCCATCGTCTCCGTGTTCCTGCCCATCGGACCCCTGGGCCAGGGCGGCTTCGGCATCCAGCAGCTCGGAAAGGTGTCCCTGAAGCTCTTCCCCCAGACTGCGGCTCTTGCCGTGGCGGCTCCGGGGGCGGTGCACGGCGGAGAGTTTCTCTACTTTATCGGACTCTTCCTGGCGCTTGTCATGTGGGGCTTCGCCCTCGTCTGGTTGTCGTTTGCTCTTATCAGCCTTGCTACAATGGAGAAGATTCCTTTCAACATGGGTTGGTGGGGGTTTACGTTCCCGCTGGGCGTGTTGGCGACCTGCACCGGCATGCTGGCCCAGGACTTGGACAGCCCCTTTTTCAGGGTCATGACCATGGTTTGTCTCCCTCTCGTGCCTGTCGATGATTATCCGTCCGGTTTTGCTGATCTCTCCTGGCAGATCTTCTCGCTCTCTGTATGCTTCCTCTGGCTGCTGGTTGCGGTGAGAACACTTCATCAGGCTATTTCTGGGGAAATTTTCTTTGCGCCGTGCCTGAAGGATATCCGAGACAAGCAAGCGCAGGCAGGATCGGATAGAAGAGTTTGAACAACTGGTTCGACATGAAAAACTAAAATCAACAACGACTCAGTCTCATGCTGAGCAAATGGCTGCCTCCATGGGCACAGCTGGGTCTATTTCCTGTACACCAGTCAAGCTCCGGTGCGGTCTCTTGACCAGTACATATTAGTGATTAATCTGGTGTGATATCCACCATCAACCATGTAGGCATCTATTATGTGTTCAGCAGCAATGAAACATGATTCAAGTGCAACACGTAGATTTCGGTTCGAGTTACAAGCCTAAATCGTTTAAAGAATTTGACTTCAACCTTATTTTTGCAAACAGCTTCTTGATAAAGGCGGGCTCCTGTCTTAGTCATGGTGTTCTCACCTTGAGATGCCCTCCAGCCGGCCGAGGTGCCATTCAATGCCAATGGTCAGCAACTGGGGAACCCCAAAGACGCTAATGGCGGGGTCGATGAGGTGCAGGGCCAGGCCTAAATTTCTTTGGCGGGGCACCACTAAACACCCAGGTCAGCCACTGGTAAAGTTTGACACTTGAAATAATTATTGCAATTGCGCTCGCACCCACTGGTCAAAGCCCATTTCGCACACCCCGCCACTGCTCATGTGCAACTTGAAAGAAATCACAACCTCAAGGCGCGTTCCTCCAAAAAGTGACGAAACAATCCGCGCATAGCTCGTCTTCGAGCACCGCGCTCCGTCGCAGCACCAATGGCTTCCACTCTTCAGCCCGTAGGCTTCAAGGCCATGTTGAACGGTGAGTTGGCTCTTCTTGCCTTTGGTGCCTCCCGCCACCTCTGTTTCTCGTTCAACCGCTCATTCTGCTTTTCTTGCGCGTAGACGTCCACGATGTTTGGCAGCAAATTCGCATACCTGTGATCTTGTTCACGGCCTTTGGACTCTTGATTCTGCGCTTCTACCTCCATTCTATCGAAGAGAAGAGCGAATTGAAGGCCCTGCCCAAAGCCTACAATAGAGAGAAGCCCGAGACGAAGCCTGTGGAGGAGACGAAGAAAAAGGATGTCAAACCAAGCCCCCCGAGCCCTACTGTCGAGTCGAAAGCGCCAAAGTCGAACGGACCCAAAAGGATAAAAGGCGGAATCGTCAAGCGAACTTCTTCTAACGACGCAAAGGGAGAGGCTCTGGTCCGCAAGGTCAGGCCTCTGGTCTTCTTTTCAAGCATCACCGCAAACACGCCCAAGATCGCAAAGGGGTATGCAGAGGGTCTGGAGAAGGAGCTGCAAAAGGTCGCTGCGGAGACCGACTGCTCGTTCATGGCTCCTGAGGTGCTGGATCTTGCCGAGGTCGACTTTGACGACTATTTCATCACCCCGCCCAAGTCGGAAGAGGACCCCGCGGATCTCTTTTACCTGTTCCTCCTGCCAAGCTACAACATCGACACCATCAACGACACCTTCTTGGAGCACCTTCAGGAGACCCACCACGACTTCCGTATCGACACCGCGCCGTTGTCCTCGCTGCTCGGATACTCCGTCTTTGGCTTTGGTGATAGGGAGGGCTGGCCGACGGAAGAGGATGGATTCTGTTTCCAGGCCAAGCAGGTCGATAAGTGGATGGCGAAGCTGACGGGCCGGAAGAGAGCCTTCCCTGTCGGAATGGGCGACACGAAGAGAGACTACACTGAGCGCTTGTCTGAATGGTCCGAGGGCGTCGTCGATGTTCTCGGCATGCTGGCTAAGACTGGCAGCCTGGGAGAAGGACTCCCAGGAAGCGGTGCCCCTGAGGAAAGTGACGATGAGTCTGCAGCTGAAGACGACGACGAGGTGTTGATCGAGGATTCCGAAGTGAAGCCCGAGAAGCTCAAGAGCCGCAAGAACATTGATGACGTCGAAGACCTAGGGCGCATCATGAAGAGCTCCAACCCCGACGCAGCCACAAACGGCCGCGCAGCTAAATCGGCAACGGCAACGGCTGGAGCAGCGGCGCCTATAGCCGTGGACTTTACAACATACGGCAAGACGGTCGCGAAGAAGACCCCTCTTAACGCCGCCAAGGAGATGGTCCCCAAGAATTCGCCCACGTACGCCTCGCTCACGAAGCAGGGCTACTCAATCGTCGGCTCGCACTCGGGCGTCAAGATCTGCCGTTGGACGAAATCAGCCCTCCGCGGCCGCGGCTCCTGCTACAAGTACTCCTTTTACGGCATCAACTCCCACCAGTGTATGGAGACGACCCCGTCGCTCTCGTGCTCCAACAAGTGCGTCTTCTGCTGGCGCCACGGCACCAACCCCGTCGGCACGACCTGGCGCTGGGTCGTCGACCCGCCCGAGCTCATCTTTGATGGCGTCAAGGCGAACCACTACAACAAGATCAAGATGCTCCGCGGCGTACCCGGTGTCCGCGCCGAGCGCTTCGCCGAGGCCATGCGCATCCGGCACTGCGCCCTCTCCCTCGTCGGCGAGCCCATCTTCTACCCTTACATCAACGAGTTCCTCGGTATGCTCCACGCCGAGCGCATCTCCTCCTTCTTGGTCTGCAATGCCCAGCACCCGGACCAGCTCGCCGCCCTAAAGGCTGTGACGCAGCTGTACGTCTCCATCGACGCGTCCAACAAGGAGTCCCTCCGAAAGATCGACCGCCCCCTGCACCGAGACTTTTGGGAGCGCTTCCAGCGGTGTCTCGACATCCTCAGAGAGAAGCGCTTCAAGCACCGCACCGTCTTCCGCCTGACCCTGGTCAAGGGCTTCAACGTCGACGACGAGGTCGAGGGCTACGCGCAGCTTGTGGAGAAGGGCCTCCCTTGCTTCGTCGAGATCAAGGGCGTCACCTATTGCGGCACCTCGACAGCGTCCAACGCCGGCCTGAGCATGTCCAACGTCCCCTTTTACTGGGAAGTCCAAGAGTTCGTCACGGCGCTGGAGAAGAGGCTCAACGAAAAGGGGCTCAAGTACGGCATCGCCGCAGAGCACGCCCACAGCTGCTGCGTCCTGCTCGCGAGCGATCGGTTCTACAAAGATGGCAAGTGGCACCCGCGCATTGACTACCAGCGCTTCTTTGAGCTGCTGGAGGAGCGGGGCGCCGACGGAGACTGGAAGCCCGAGGATTACATGGGCGAGGCGACGCCCGAGTGGGCTACCTGGGGCAAAGGCGGTTTCGACCCCAGAGATGACAGAGTCGACAGGAAGGGCAGGAAAATCGAGGCCTAGGTTATTCGGTAGAGGAGTACATCAAACGGAAAATCAAAAAGGCGCCGGCTGCATGCTCTCGAGAGACCAGATACACACGCATTATGAAATTGTGGAATTTCGTGAATCTTCTTCATCTTCTTGCCTATTTGTCCCTGCCGGGATCGTCAATATACACTTGGTTTCTTTCCTCTTACAAAAACCTTCTATCAAAACAGCCCCAGCCGGCCAGGTATTGTACAGTGAAAAGTCGTAATTCCTCCTTCCTCTTCTCGCAGAATGCCGGGGGATTACGTATGGGGTGGTGGATTCGCAGCATCACGCCATTGGTGGAGTGACTGCGGATTCTTTGGAGGCGAGCGCGCGCCGGAATGTGTGTGTCCAGGTTTTGGGGGATGTGAGAGAGTGGAGGGGAACTCGTTATGGTGAGAGCTACATCGTCAAAACGAAGATCTTTTAGTCCAGGCCGACGGTGGGCATGCCGCCGAGGTCAACGTTGACGCCACCCTGGTACTGGCCAATGTTGAGAGAGGAGTCGTAGGCGATCATCTCGGCGAGAACGTCAAGGACGGGCTAGATATAAGATCAGTTTCAGATCAAATGCTGTAGCAATTTCCCGGGGATCCAAGGAGGTCTCTTACCTTGGGAACGGTCTTGTCGTAGATGCCGATCAGGTCACCAGGCGTAGGGTAGACCTTGAGGCCCTTGTAGAACGCAAGCGCGGCTTCAACAGCGCGCGTGGCTGTAACATGAACAGTTGTCAGTAAGCTGAGCCATCTCGCCTCATTCCGGGTATTTCTTCTCGCATAGGGGTTGGACTAACGGTCGGCGGACAGCGTCTCTCCCTCGGAAACCTGCTGGAGGAAGTATGCCTCCTTCTGCTCGACGTCGGTAGGGAAGCCCTCTTCCTTGGCCTCATCGACGGCCTCCTTGATGGCTTGCCTTTGTCGGACGGTCTCCTGCTGAGCCGACTCCTTCTCAGCCTTGTGCTGACGGCGCTCGTTTCGACGCAGTTCTCTCCGGAACTCAGCCTTGTTGCGTCGCTGGTAGTCGAAGAAGGCGGCGTACGCTTTGATGACGAACGTTAGCAAACGCGGCTCCAATTAAACTGGTCCCTCGGTCCTATTGTGGAATTGGCAAAGGGAGAATTGTGATATCGGGGTGCGTCGAGGTGTTGAGGCAGACTCACCAACCAAGCCGGTAACGGCGGCGGCGACTGATGCCGTCACTATCGTGGAAGTCTGGGACATCTTTTTTTCTGGAACTTGGGGAAAAGCGGACGGAAGGTTTGGCTTTCGGTCTACAGCAGTCGGAGCTGATAGCGACGATGAGAGCTGATGGGGTTTGTGCTCAGGTTCACAACGTTGCGCTTTGTGAGCTGGGAGATGGTTGAATGACCGGGGGGAGACAACGGGCGGAGGATTCGTTGACGGAGTAAATATCGAAGGAAAGAAGCTCTATCGGGAATTGATGGAGCTTCCTCTACCAATTTTTTTAGCCTCTGCGCCATAGTTCCCAGGTCGCGTTCTCTTGCCAAGCAGCCGCTGGAGTGGGTCTCTGAGAGCACAGACCAGACACACTGATCAGATAGGTACGTACTGATTCGACAGCTCACTGAGGTAGGTAGGTGCACTGCTGCAGCACCCGCCAGGAGGCTGCTGTTGCCCACTGGACGACGAGGTTAGGCGCCCGCCTTCCAGATTACGTAGAGGGATAAGTGCTGCGTGCCATAACGACTTGGGACTCCACGTCCATCTTAATGTCGAACTGGCAGGGGTCTTATCCTCTCAATGGCCACCACAGCACGGCAGCTTCCCACTCCGCGGGCGACAGACGGTGCATGAAACAACATCAATCCGACCTGATCTGCGACTTCACCAAAGGGGCTTTGTCCTCGCTCTTTCTACCCACCAACATCTGTCTCTCTATGCACAATAAGTGCTACTAGATTCGTGCCCTTCAGCACGTAACACCAACTCAACCGCCCGCCATGTCGGAAGATCGGGAGCGCAGCAAGATCTCGCTCCGAAGTGGAAAGAGAAAGGGCCGCCCTCAGATCAGCGCACCTCGCCAGATCTCAGAGCCCATTCTACAGGATGGATCTGGCCCAGTACGGCCTCCCGGCTCAAGGCCGATGGCAGATGCAGGTCCTCCGCCGGTTCAGCCTCGGCTTCGCCCGCCGCCGCAAGCTGGAGGCGGAAAGGTAAGCATCCCCAGCAAGGGCTAACTGAAGAGTCAAGTTGAAGGTATTGGAGGCTGACGAGAGAATTTATAGACCTCGGACTTGGTCAAGCGACGATACTCGACGCGGTTTAATACCCTGCCGAACGACTTCGACGTGAATAACCCGCCGGTACCGTCTATGCCATCCCTCGACAAGTACGAGTCCCGCCAGCGAAGAGCAGCACAGCCCCCTCCCAGCCGTGGCGGCACAGCACCAGCGCCAATTGTCGATATAAAGGCATTGCGAGATCCCGGGTTGGTACCAGACCAATGTGAGTAATGGACCTCCTTGGTTCATAGCATGTAACTAACACAGTTCTAGATGTTGCGACATTGCTCAGCGAAGCGGACGAAGACCAGATCCGAGAATTTGAGGATAACCTACGCAATCTCAAGGGCCGGGCCAATGCAGACTTGCAGCAGAATGTCATGCAGAACCGTACCCAGTTCATCAAGATTAGCAAAGAGGCCGAGAAGCTCAAGGGCGAGATGCGAGCGTTGAAGAACCTGATGACGGACCTCAAAGTGAATACAACAGCACTTCGCCAGGCCTCAAACAACGGAAACAATGAGTCTTCAAGCCTTGGGGGCGAACTCTCGACAGGCCTGAGCAAGAGGGACAAGCGAAGCTCGGTCGCAGACCGAAGCGCCCTTTGGAACTCGCAGATGCAGGCACTATACAAGAATGTCGAGGGTTCCCAAAAGTTCCTGCCCAATTCTGCCCGGCGCCATGTCATCCAAAATGCAGGAGCTTGGATTGAGCTGGACAACGCCACATACAAGTCTCGACGAGCGATGCAGATATTCCTACTCAGCGACCATTTGCTTATTGCATCTCGCAAGAAGAGAAAAGCCGATGTCCCGCCTCGCGAAGCTCAAGGACCCCTGGTGAAGCTGGTCGCAGATCGTTGCTGGCCGCTGCTTGATATTGAGGTTGTTGACATGGCCGGACCCGGCGATGGCTCGACGACGAGAAACAAATTGGCAGATGCTGTCATGGTCAGAGGCGTCGGCCAGGAATCTGTCATCTACCGAACCGAAAAGCCAGAGGATACGGAGAAGAACAGTCTGCTTCTCAACATCCGCAAAGCAGTGGAAGAGTTGCGCAAAGAGCGACAGTCAGAACTGGAGGCCAACAACAAGGCCAAGGAGACGATCAACTACTTTGCGTCCCGTGACCCCGGCCTGCTGCAGAAGACTGAGCTTTTGGAAACATTGTCCGACATCAAGGACATGCTCATCGACGTTGATGGAAAGCAGCAAAATCTACGATGGGTCGAAAGCCAGATGGACGAGCTCGATATTGATATTGCATTACAGAGCTTTGAGCCGGCAGTTGACCGCGTCGAGAAGCTGAAGAATCTCGCTCGAGGCCTGAAGAACAATGCGGTGGCGCAGGACTTCATCAGCTTCAAGGTCGAAGAAAGATGTGCCAAGTTGGCGGGCATGATCATTCGCGAGCTCGAGACGACACACACGGCGCCTACCAAGAACAAGCGTAACATTAGTTGGTTGGCCAGGCTTGGCTACGAAGACAGGGCTCGCGAGGCATATCTGGTCGCCAGACATGATATTATCACAAAGCGATCGAGGTAAGATTGGCGATGCTACGTATCCTTTTGGATTTGGCTAACCCCCTTTCAGACAATGCATCTTCCAGGGTGATTTGCACTTGTACATCTGGGAGCTCTCGTTTGTTTACTTCTCTCTGATCCGCAACACCGTGAGCTGCTTTCACTCATGTTTCCCTCCGCCGATGATGAGCGCCTGCGTCAAATGGGCCAAGGAAGAGGTGGAGACTTTCAACGGCATCCTCGCGCGACAGCTCAGTGGAACAGAGCGCGGCGGAAAGGTCTGGAACGAATGCATGGAGCGTGCCCAAGAGCACGCAAAGATGTTGAACGAGGTGCAGCTCGATTTCCGCACACTGGTCGGACGTGATTTGGAGCACTCGTCTGGTGTCACCAGCCCCGTTGGTCTCGGGCTATCGTAGTTGTCAACGATTGAGTGTTCATGGACCCTGCGACGTCTACAATAGGCATGTTAGAGACGGTGTTGATGGGCCTTGAGTAATGGCAATGGAAGGGCTGAAGATTGCGGGTTGTGTTTAGTCCGCGGTCAAGCAAATGATACCGAGACATTAAGGACGAAATGACGGAAGTGCCGCGGCCACTGGCATGTGCACAGATATTTTGGGCCACTTGAGGCTTGTTTGGCCTCTGGCCTGTTTACTTGCGACGACGTTTGTTACCTAAATAGGGAAATAAGTAGCCATAGGACAAGTGACCTATATCGAAACTTCACTGATGGGAAAAAAGGGGAGCAAGCAGTGTGACAAAGGCAACCAGAGAAACCAGAGTTTCGTGAAATCGATCGATGACATGATGCTCAGTCTGTCTACTTGTACTGTCTTATTAAGATATTTAGATTGAGATGCTTTACTTTGGCTGCCCAGGTATCCGTATTACCTAGGTACATACCTACCTATAGGATCTTACCTTCATGTCGAGGCTGATGCATCAAAGGAGTAGACGCAGACGTGACGAGGCTTACGTTAGTGCAGTGTATCGGATTAAGCGAGTCTAGGCCAGGAGGTGTCACCCAATAGGAGGCATTTATCTCCTGCCTCATGGCTTGGGTGTGTTTCTTGCCTGGGGGCTCAGGAAAGTCCCATCCAGTGTGGTGGTGTATCTCTCAATCCCCCTCCTGCCCCAGTCTGCTGGTCTTGCTGCAACCAGCAAGCACCACACCACGCCCGCCGCACCTGCACCCAGCACTAGAGCACCACCTTCCACATC